ATCGTAGTAGCATCTTCACGATAAATTATCGCGAAGCTAGCTTGTATGTTGGCAATACGTTATGATGCTTTAGCTAGAAGACCAATAAATAATTGAGTTACTGCTGCAATAACCAAGGTTTATTGAATCAATAACAGGTATCTACGCTCGAGTTGCTGTGTCAAGTGTTTGTGCGTCCCAGTAACCAGCATTTTCGCGCAGGAAGAGAATCATTTCTAAAGTGGGAAGTGAGAGAAAAGAAATTGAGTCAGCCGATTCGGCAACAAAACGACTGGTTCGTTGACTGCTGCAGATAACTTCAGGAAACTGTAGCATAAATTACCGTATGTAATATGCAGCCACCATAAATTATGCACGAGCCTAGTTTAGGGTGACAACATAAATAATGTCTGCTTATTTATTGAAATTACTGTGTCGTCAATTTTTTTTTCGGGGGCCCTGCTCTCTATTACTAATAGAGAGCTTGCTCTTGGGGAAGTTGGTTCGAGTGGCTGGGCTCGAAGGAGTGAATTGGAGAATGAGGCAATGTGCAAGACCTGGGCTGTTGGTGTTAGTGAACGGGCTTGACCTAGTCAACAGATCCGGTAGCGCAAATGATCTTCTGGTAAGGATACAGTTTCAGTGTGGTTTAGCTGACAGGCTGAGGCACATGACATGGGCTACGCACGCTCGCTTGAGCGACTAATTCTCGATCTCTACATCTTCTTATTCGCGTTCTTGACTTCCATCAATTTACAGAACAGCCGACCAATTATGGGCACCATACTGTACCTGCACTTTACGTAGGCCTAGATTTGTTGTTTCTTATTCAATGGTTTTGATGCTGAACTTTGTATGCCCCATATTGAAGTTGTTGTAGTACGTCGATTTGCGGCTTTTTTAAAAAAGCACATAAAATCAATTTGTGTTTGTCACAATTTGCATCTCGAATACTTCGGCCTCTGCAATCTCTGTTTACCCATTGACTTGACACCACCAGGATAATACTACTAAAAGGAAAATTTATTTTCGGGGATTACCAGCACAATCCATACCATGCGGAATTTACCAGCAGAATCCGTACGGATCCTTTAACTATTCAGCAACAAGATAACCTCCGTAAGGAGGGATTGGCTGACAACTCACGATGCCACTTACAACTCATTCTCCAATTCACTCCTTCGAGCTCAACCACTCGAACCAACTTCCCCAAGAGCAAGCTCTCTATTACTCTCTCTAGACCAAGTCTCCATCTTCAACAATCATGTTCAGCAACAACAAGATCATCGCAATGTGCATCGCCGCCGTGGCTCTATCAAGCCACGTGCAGGCCGAGAAGCAAGTAGCCGAGACGTTTGGACTACTCAGTGTACCTGGTGTCGGTGTGGGTGTTCCCGGTGTTGCTAGCGTCGGAGTGGGTGGCCCCGGTTACGTTGGACCAGGTGTTGGTGTCGGCGTCCTGGGCGTTGCTAGCGTTGGTGTCGGTGTCGGTGTGCCTGGTGTCGGTGTGGGTGTAAACGGCGTTGGTGTTGGCGTGAACGGTGTCGGAGTTGGGGTGGGTGTTCCGGGTGTCGCTAGCGTGGGTGTGGGTGCTTCCCCTGTAGTCGGAGTGAACGGTGTCCATGCTGGTGCACCTGCTACCGTTATCCACGACGGTGTCGACGTCGGCGTTGGAACTGGCGCGAGCAAGACTGTGACTGTGACGAGTGATGACGGTGCCAGCACGGCGAAGACGTCCACCGGTACGGGTGGTGCGTCGGCGACCGCCACTGCAAGCGCTTCTGCGAACGCGAATGCTGGTGCTACGGCTGGAACCGGTGCCACATCTCAGAAATCGTACCGCAAGCTTCGCTCGCAGGAGTGAACGAGATGACAATGATACTAGATACGAAGTGTAGCGAGATGACGTGTAACATGTGGCGTTAGCAGTAAACAGAAAAATACATGCATCGTTTTCATGGATCGACACGCTTTACCGGTATTTACGTGCTTTTTCTCGGATGGTCTTTTTTTATAAAAACAATTAATTTCCAAAAAAGCAGTTAGAAAACCGGTATCAGCAAGTTCCAGATTGACAAAAATCAGATTGCCAAAAAGTTCGAGGTAATATGAAGGCGCTTGAGGTACGGTCGCGTTCTCTCGGTTGCCACTCCTGCTTCATACTCACGTAGCTCTTCTTTCTGTTGTCACTGTATCAGGACTACCAGCGGCCTACGAATGTGGCAGACTTTGTGGCGGAGGTGGGTGTAGATCCCGCACTCGGCCTGTCTCGCGACGATGCCATGACTCGCCGCGCGCTCTACGGTGCCAACCGGGTAACTCCTCCCGTGAACTGTCCGTCCTGGGTCTGCTGTCTACTGCCCTGTCTCATGCGCACAGCCTCCATGCAGGCGTATCAAGGGGCGCTGCCACGTGAGGCAACGGTGCGTCGTCGAGTTGATGCTGCGCCGGGCCAACCGGCCTCTAGACGTATGCGGATGGACGCCATGAGTCTCGTGTACGGCGACGTAGTGGGAACTCAAGGTTGGGGGACGTGGCAGGCGCGGGATCTTCGTGTCGGTGAGTGCTCGGACGATTGCGTCGTGGACCAGGAGACGCTATTGGGCGACGACGGAGTAGATGAGGAAGCGGGACAGGGGAGGCAGCAGGAAACACGTCACGACTGACATGCCACCGTCGCATATGCAGCAGGATCCCTTTGCGCTGTGGCAATATTGTCGCCCATGACGGCGAGCGTGTTGCAAGGAACAGCTGTGGCTGTGGTGGTGTCGACGGGTGACCGGACGCTGTGGGGCGCATGTGACAAACCACGAGTGCCGCCAGCTCCTGGAGCTGTGCTGAGAAAGCAGGAGAAAGGAATGAGGAGGACAACCCAGTTGATCGTATAGGGATTGATGCAGGGCATTAGAGATAATGGCATCAGCTGGGGGGGGGGGGGTAGATTCTGGTTTTCGACGAGAGACACACCTTACTGCTTGGGGTTCGATCGCGTTGAAGCAGGCACCGGTACTTGTAAAGTAAGCACAATGCATACTCTATTCCTCATCAAGTGATCTATCGTCGTCTTCCGCCAGCAGCAGCAGCAGGAGCACCGCCTGCACCACCAGCTGAAGCAGCTCCTCCATCGCCACCTAAGAGGCTCATGACAACGATAGGCAGAATGATGTACCACTACAAAAAAGCACGTGATAATGACGTGAGTACATGTAAAAAACCATAATACAGCATTGCAGCTCTCATGTGCGTACATATTTGCGAAGGAAGGACTGGTTTTCCTCTTCGGGCTCGTCGTTGCCATCCTCGCTCTTCACCGGTTTGACGCCTTGTGGAGCGCGGTCGCGGTTGACCACGATATTTTTCGGAGGCCTACATTGGCAATACAATCACACAAGTAGCATTATTGTAAAGGTTAGCTCAGTAGGTCAACAAGAAGAAAAAGAGGACGGGCACTTACGACGGACCGGCCTGCGTCTTCAAGACTGTGCCAAACGGTCCAAAGCGCACATCTTTGAGACTGCGCGTCTGGAGCTCAGCACAGGCATCATTATCCAGGTATGGCGTGAGATACTCGATGGCCACGAGCTTGCCGCTGTCCGATAGGTGGAAGGCGAAGTCCTCGCGCAGGCGCATGCCTGCCAGCATACACATGGGCACGGAGGTCATGACGTACGGCGATTGTGGGTCAGTTGGGTCCGCCTTGGCACGAACAGTGTAGTGGCGATCGTGGCGCAGCAGCGTTTCCAGCTTCTCGACGTCGTCGGCCCTCAGCGTCGGCAATGCCGAGAACGAGACTTGGGGCTTGGGGGACGAGGCGCTTCCAACGATCTCCACGATGCCGCGCGGCGTATACGGCGCGCCAGCAGCCAGCTGGTGCTCTAGCTCGAACTTGAGCCGCTGCTCAAGCTCGCCCAGCGCGGGGATTGAGCGCTCGTCCTCAAAATCGTCACCGAACTCTTCTTTAAGTCTGGAGAGAATGGGCAATCAGATATACACCCACGAAGATGTTTTAAGAAAGAAGAGACTGCACGGATACAGGAAAACGTACTCGGCGTTCTCCACCTCGCGAGGGTCAGCGGAGACGAATGTGGCCAGCAGCGCCGTCGTGGCAAGCACAAAAAGCAGCGTCCACGCTCTCGGCAGCATCATCTTAGTTGCCCTCCCTCAAGATTTCACTGACGTGGCACTATATCGGGGACGAGAGGCCTGTATTAACTAGATTTTGAATATTATTCCCGCACTTTCTCGCTGTACTTTGATGCCCTCGTCTCGAGAGGAGATTGCACGCGTCATCCGCGAACGCAACGGCAGCACTCGAGCCAGCGACACGCCTTCGATCGCCACAGAGGAGGTAGCCACCATCGTGCGCAAGCTCAGCTTTAGCGGCGCCACCATGGACGAACAGGAGTTGGAAGAAGAGGGGCAGCAGCAAGACTACGACCAAGTCCAGGAACCGGAACAACAACAACAGGAAATCAAGATGGATACCAGTACGAATAAGGTGCAGATTGTTATTCGCCTCCGACCGCTCGAAGCGGCCACTAACGAGACAGAGCCCGATTGCTTTCGCGTGCTGTCGGACGTGTCGCTTCTAGCTCAGCCGCCCAAGACGTCTCAGTCTTATCGCTCCACCGGCACAGCCACAAGCTTCCACTTCTCCCGTATTTTCCGCCAGGAGACACAGCAAACAGAGCTGTTCGAGGCCACCACGAGGCCCGTGTTGGACGCGGCCTTCGACGGCAAGAGCGGCCTCGTCTTCGCCTACGGAGTCACCAACTCTGGCAAGACTTACACGATCAGTGGCTCGAGCGAAGCCCCCGGTGTCCTGCCGCAGTCTCTTCAGTACGTGATGGACGAGCTCCCAAAGCGCAAAGATGGCGACAAACAACAGGTAACGAAAGTGACGGCAACATACCTCGAGATCTACAACGAGAATGTGTACGACTTGCTGTCGCCTGCGCTTCGGAAGAGAAGGGCGCTACGTGTACAGGACTGTGATGGCAAAATCCAAGTACGTGGAGCTGTGGAGAAACCCATCAAGACGTTGGAGGAAGGTCTGGAGCTTCTGGAAATGGGAAGACGTCACAAGCAGATGGCGGAAACCAACTGCAACTCGGACTCGAGTCGCAGTCACTGCGTCTTTACGCTGCATTTGTACCATCAGGTATCGCGTTTTTCCTCGGAGCTACGCAGTAAGGTGTCGATCGTTGATCTGGCAGGCTCTGAACGCGGCTCCAAGAGTGGCGCCACGGGGCTACGCATGCAGGAGGCCAGCAAGATTAATGGCTCTTTGATGAACCTGATGCGCTGTCTAGAGACGTTGCGGTGGAATCAGCAACATCCGCCGAGCTTGCAGAAGATGGTCCCATTCCGTGAGTCCAAGCTAGCTCGAATTTTTCAGGAGAATCTTGTGGGCAACGATCACGGCCCGCTGGTGATGATTGTGGCGGTGAATCCGTCCAGTCACGAGTTTGATGAGACTTTGCGCACCCTGAAATACAGTGCTGTAGCACGCGAGTTAGTAAGGACACGTACGTCCATCCCTAGGAAAGCTGCACCGACAGCTACGTTTTACGACCTTGATGGTCGACTGAAGAAGAGAAAGCGACAGTCGACGGAAGCACAAGCACGTCAAGTATCGAAAGCGCCCGTTGATCGAGGTCAGCCAGCGACAACAACTACTGCTTCTTCACCGCCCAGGCCTAAGGCCAAGCATCGAAGGAGTGACTCTGCACGTCGTCGGCATCGCTCGCTCGCAGGTTCCGTTGTAAAGCCGCCAACAGCGGAGGTTGCGACGTCACCGATGGAGTCACAAAGAGAGGTCACGGAAAGGAACTTGCATTGGGTATGTATGGTTTGGTATGGATGGCTGTCGATGGTGATGCTTATTAAGCTTTTTATGCACCCAGGCCAAACTCGAACTGGAGAACGAGGAACTCCGACAGCAGCTCGCACAGACTGAAGCTGAAAAAATGCAAATGGAGGTTCGCATTCGTGCAGAAATTGGCAATGAAATGCGCGAGCAGCTGCAGCAGATCCGCGCCCAATATCAAAGCATGTCTCGCCTTCAGCGGGAGGACCTACCGTCGGCACGTAAAAAACGCGAGCGCCAACACGCTGAAGAAAGCGAGAAGCTCCGTGCGCATGTCCACGAGTTGCGTGAAAAGGTGCGAGAATGCGAGGACGAGATTCAGCGCATCCACAAGCGCCACCAAGCAGAACTCGACAAATTGCAGCCGAAACTTGTATCAGTACCTGTAGAAGACGAGAGCACGTGAAACTAGGAAATCAAGCTAAATAGATGTGTCTCAAATTGACCGTGCTCCGTTCGTGTTCCGTTCCTATCCCTGTCAATTTATCGCACTTTCGTAGGTTGGAACCATGTACTTGATGTTGATAAACGCGTCCTCCCCTCCAGTCCGTTCCAGCATCTCGAGGGTTTCCATGATCACCTCACCGAGATCTTGTAGGCGTTGTTGTCGAAAGTCGATCTCATCTCCGAGATTTCGTCGTTTGCTCTTGAACAGGTTTAGTATCGGCAGCATTTGCCGGTAGTACGGTACCAGTAGTGGACCCACGCCTGCTGTCTGTGTGATCTGCTGCAGCAATAGAAGCGCATCTCGCAGTGCTCTGTCGTCACGAGTCTCCAAGTTTGTGCGGAGTACTGGGATCACACGGTGCAGACAGTCGACAAGTTTGTTCGGATGTCGTTGTGCAAAGGCGGCCAACTGGAAAGCTCCTTCACGAGCCAAAAAGCTGAACGGAAAAGCTTTCTCGCGCATGCCATCTACAAAAAGCGGGAAATATTTACCAAAATCCAAGTCTTCCATCGGTGCCATCCAGCGCAAGCCGGACTTCCCGCCGCCCTTACCACCTTCGATCATAATAGGCAGCTCGTTACGTGCATATGCCTGAGGAAACTTTGAAGAAGGCGCCCCACGCTTTTTAAAGGCCCCAGCTACTGGTGGGAGCGATTCTTGAGCCTGTTGAGTGCTGTGCTTAGTAACCTGCACGTGGCGATCGATGACCGAGCGCGTAGGCGATGGAAGGTGAAGATCCGACATGACGTGGTCTCTCTCCGTGTCGAACGAAATTGGGCGTGTGTTGAGCATTGGCTCCGACTTTGAAGATAGCTTTGGTAATCGCTGAGGTTTCTTGGACTGACGGCGCTGCGTATTGCCTGGCCGACACAAAGCCCCCACTGCTACGGCCTTCTGGTCTTCCTGAAGCCGATGCTTCATTTTTACTTCGAGAATACCCACTGCAGAAAGCCAAAACACTCTTAGTAAACAGATAAGGACATTCATGAACACACATCCAACATACCATTGCGTTGTCGTGGATGTGATATACTTTTCGGACTCGTGGAAAGCGGCGCGAGCTCTTTTTTCATGGTCACCGCTGTGGATGATACTGGTGCAACTCACTGAGGTATTAACAACCGCACATTCAACTGCGTGGCTTGAGGTAGAGTTTTTGCACTGCAGATTTTTAAAGTCTTATAGCAATTGCACCAAAGTGAAGTATGACCGACATCATCCATGCAAAAATAACCAAATCGTGTGCAACCGCCGCCAGACTTGTGCTTTAGGAGTCTCTTGCTTTGGTCGTCGCAAAGACTCACTCGAGATCGCCACACTGCAACGAATTGCCGGAAACAATGCGCGTTTTCATCACGGACTTGGGCTCGTCCCTCTCGACGGAGCTGGCACGCAATTGTCAAGATGCTGGTCTTGAAGTCGTCGGTACCGCCTCCAGGGGTGGGAAATCTGAAGTTACAGCAATCAAACGTCAACTGCAGAGCCACGCGAGTAGCGACGTCGCTGGAGCCGTCAAAGAACCAATTGCCCTGCAAACCGATGTGGCAGCGTGGCGTCGACTTGTGCAGCAAGCCGACGTAGTCGTGGTCACTTCGCTGGCAGCTGACCCGAAACTGGCCATGGAGACACTGAAAGTCTTCGAGAAACGGGACATGACCAAAGGTGACGATGAAGCGAAAGAGGACGAGGGCGGCGAAAGTGTCAAACGCTTTATCGCAGTGTCTTCCGTGCTCTCATGGAGCAAGAATTCCCCGTTTGCAGCATCAGGAACCGATTCTGGACACGTCGAGGACGATTTCAAGTCAAGACGCCCGGCACGCAAATATACAGACCTCAAAACTGCTGAGACGCAGATCTTGAGCGCACACCGGACTGGAGACCTTGAAACCTGCATCGTCGGAGCAGGACTAATATATGGCGGTGCTCAGTCACAGCTACAGCTGATCTTTCGAGAGGCGTGGTTGCATCCGGATCAGCCACTCCTTGTGCCAAGTCTCGCAACGCAAGCTCAGCCTACCAGTCAAGGTCGAAATCTGCTGCCAATGATCAGTCTCTATGATCTCGCGTTGCTAGTTTTCCGTGTTGCAGCCTCGCCGTCACCACCCCCCAAGAAATATTTGCTTGCGGTTGACAGGGCCAGTGGCAGCACGAGCCTGCGCGACGTATGTCGTGGAGTTAGCACACTTCTTGCGTCTGGGCACCTACGCGATCGTGAAGACTCTGCTAGTGCGGCCGACGCAAAAGCTGATGCGTTACTTTTGGACGAAGAGGAGGAGCTTGTGACGCCTCTGCAAGTTCATTTGCGCTTTGATACATCCGCCGGGGCGATGCATACGCTAGTGGCTCCTGAAGAGTGGCGCCACTATTCACGCGGCCTGTTGGGGAATCTGGTCTTCTTCTTTGACGACTTCATTAACGCCATGGATCTGCGTCCACTACGCACCATCATTCTTGGTGCGCCTCGAGCGGGTAAGACCATGCTTAGTCGGAAGCTTGCAGCTGATTATTATCTGCCATATCTGTCTCCGACCGCACTATTGCGCGAGCTTTTTGCATCCGACAAGCCCAAAGCCAACCAACCGGATCCGACGAGACAGCAAGGCAACGAGGACACGCAAAAACTTCGTGAAGAGCTCCAGCAGTGGGCTCCAACTGCTGGGGATAAAGCTTCGCAGCTTCCAGAAAAAGCCTTGGTAGCACTGGTACGCTGGAAGCTTCGTAGTGCTGCATGTCGTAACCAGGGGTATGTACTGGATGGGCTTCCAATCTCATCAGTTCAGGCAAAAAAAATCTTTTCGCAGGAGCCCAACACTGACACTAACGTTGTCGAAGGAGGTGAGTCGGGTGAGCCCGGAGAGATGGCAACCAGCAACTCAGTTGATGGAGCGGACACCGGTGAGGCTGCAAATGAAGACGAGAATGCTGATGGAGCAGCTGCCGTCCCCGCGGTGGATGTTGAAGCGATGCTGACGCATTTGAAACCCAGACAGCTAGTCGAAGTGCCGAATCGAGTGATTGTACTTCAGGCTCCTCGAGCACTGCTGGAGATACGTGCCCAAGCGTTGTCAGAGGCTGAAGCCGAGCGCACGGAGAACACTCAGGACGCATTTGCTCGGCGTTTCGACGAGTTCGAATCCAACATTGAAGCTCTGGAGGCATTTTTTGAAAAGCCAAAGATGACGAAGGAGGTCACAGCAGAAGGCGTGGAAGTGCTGGAGCTGAGTCTGCGAGACGAGCACGGATACCGTAATGACGCAGTCTTTGCTGCTCCCATTCAGCGATACGTGGAGCAGGGAGACCAAGCACCACGCAACTTTCACCCCACAAGGGCAGAACTGCGCGAGCAGCGCCGTGCAGCGGAGAAACAAGCTCGAGCAGCTGTATTTCGCTCTGCACAGCTCATCCGCGAACAGGACGCGCAAGATGAGGCGGCTCAGCAGGCGAAGATCGCTCGGGAACGTGCACGACTTGAACTCCTGCAATGTGAAGAGGCTGAGCTACTTGAAACCCGTGCTAAGCCACTCCGAACGTACCTTATGGACACGGTGCTGCCTGCGCTGACCGAAGGGATGCTGGAAGTCGTCAAGGTGCAACCTACGGACCCAATTGATTATCTGGCAGAGTTCCTCTTTCGCAAAGGCCAGGAGCTAGAAGCGGAGTTAAGTGAAGCCTAGGACTAAACCAGCTACTTGAATCAAGTTCAAGCATACATGCTTTTCGTTATGAATGGCTTTCTTAGGGTGCTCGTGAATTTACATTCCCGCTGCGGCCATTGTGTCGCCCTCCACGCTCTCGATCGGAATGCATGCACCGTTCACGAGCATTAGGATTATACCCACCACCTCGCCCAAACTCTCGAGAGCCGCGTCGCTCCTTATTTCGATCACCTACGTTACCGTCGTATCCACCACGAGCAGATAAAGAGGTTCTAGACCGTGATCGTGACCTAGGCCTTGCCTCGACCGGGTCACGATTGTGCTGTTGGTAATTAAAACGGTGTTGTCCGGCAGGTGGCCCCTCTAAGCGATCACGTAAATCAGTCGTAAAGCTGTTCCGTCTTCCTCGTGGTTCAGTTTTGTTGAAGTCCTTTTGCCACCGTCTGGGCGGAGACCGATCACTTCGCCGCTCTCCTCGGTTGCTATCGTTTCCACCCAAATTCCTCACACGAGTATTAGGCGCTGCCTCAGAGCTGCTCATGAGTTCTTTGCGCAGACCGCTCCCTCTTGCATTTTCTCGTATATCCCGGTCTTGGCCACCGAGTGGAGATCGACGCGGTAACATTCGTGCTCGCTTCTGTGCTGGTGAGCCCACGTCGTTGTGAACGGCACTACTAGAGCTTTCAGCACCACCATCGGTTCTTGCGCGATTGCCTTCCGTAGGTGGCTGCTGATTACTTGTCACAATGGACCTTGGGCCAGCTCTGTTGTTTACCTGACCAGAAGACTCATAGTGCTGTCTGTGAAATGACACGGACCCAGAGCGGGATCGAGATCTACGCTCATGTGACCGCTTGTTGCCAGTCAAGGATGGCCCGTATCTTCCCTCGCGACTTTCTCCCTTCGGCCATTGAGCTGGCGGTGCGCCACGGTCGTATCTTGAATACCGATGATCACTTTTCAAAGTTGCGTCGCGCTCTCGTCGCCACACCGGGGTATTTCGCGCGCTGCCATTTTGCGAAGGAAGAGGGGACGGCTCTGGAGCACTTCGCTCACTGGAGCAAGAGCGGCGTGGAGATAGTTGGGGCGTTGACCGGGCGGCAAGAGAAGAGCATCTTCTAATTCTCGACCCAGCTTTAAGCTCCCATCGAATCTGCAGAGGTTGTCCAAGATCATCACGAAACACTTGTGCTGCTCGCCCAGCGTCCTCGCGGTTGTAGTAGTGCAAGTACACCGTAGCCGGCTCATTCCTCATCAGCTTCTGCCAGTTTTCTCGAGGTATGTCACACCGCGGCACTGACTTCTTCAGAGTATACCGCTGGCTCAGTGTTGCTGCGAACGCCTCCCGATCACGATCCTGATTGAACCGGATCCCCGTGGCCTTGCGCTCAAAGCGCGCATTTCGGACAATCAGCGTTATCCAGCCACGCACATTCTGCGGCACAAACGCCGTGCCATACAGTTTCCGTTGATAAAACTCCCTGTCTTCAGGTCGCTCAAAACTTAACTCTTCATAACAGTTCATCTTTCGGGTATCGTGATCCGTTTCGTCACATTCTCCGTAGACAGAACGCGGTTCTCGTTTAGCCTTCGGAGCTTCACGGGATACTCCAAAAAACGAGGCCGCGTACGACTCCCGGTCCACCGCCATTTCACGTTTCGTAGCGCAGTTTAAACGAGGAACAAGATCAGATAGCGTCTCTCCGTCTACATCGTACACTTCATACCCCATCATCCGTGTTCCTGACCCCGTCTTTTTGCTGCCCTTTATGTCAGAGGTTAGAGCTGCCAGTTCTGCCGCTGCCATAAAGATGGAGTTGCGCTTTCTGGAAAGGCGCATCGAAGCTCGATCTTGTGCAGATAACGATACTTTTTTCACTGGTACCGGGTTTTTAGTTCGCTTTCGTTGCGGCCGAGCAGGTTCATCCTTTGGCAAATTCGAGCTTGATGGAGGAGAAGTCGCTGGTATGCTGGCCTGCCCAGAGCGCTTAACACCACTCCCTGTGGCCTCTGTGATACCAGCCAGTCCCACCTGAGCAGGTGCCTTCTGTCGCGCTACGTCAACCTTCGCAAACGTCCGTTTAGGAATTTTAAATGATTCCGTGCCAAGCTGAGGCGCAGGTGATTGTTGCTTTGGCGCCTTCCTGGGAATTGGCACTTCATCAAGAAGCAACTTCTCTTCGTCAGGCTTCTTCTCGTCTTCCGTTTTCACCGCCAACGCAGAGCTCTCGGATGGTTCCTTTCGTGTCTCTTCTTTGTTTTCATTCTTCACCAGTTCAGCTGTAGCTTCAGCGTCAATAAGGGGCTCTGTTTTCACCTGGACTTCAATTTCAGGTTTCGATGGTTCACCTGGTTCAAATGAGGCCCCATCGGTAGTCCAAGAAGACTCGTTCTTGATTGCGTCGGTGTCTGCACCGTCGGGCCTCTCTTGAGATTCCTGTCCGCTTTTAGCGCACTCAGATGCTTCGCATGTCACTTTCATTTTGTTGTCAGTCGTCGCTGAATAAAAAAAATCCTCTTTCATGGCCGCAGCACTTTCTCCCGACGTCGGTAGCCCGATAGTCGTCTTGCTTTCGGCCTCCCAAGAGTGTCCGTCTTTCTCTTCTGATGCACTGGGGGTAGCGGAGGGCACCAAAGCTTCCGCTCTGTCTTCGTCGCGCTTCCGCAACTCAGAAGGTTTAATCTTAGCGATTGCGCGAATTTTCACTTCAGTTTTCCTGGGCGCATCACTTTTCACCGAGTCTGGAGCTTTCTCGGCGGCGAGAGCAGCGGGTTCTGTCTGATTGGGTTTGCCTGCTTTCGGAATGCTAGTTCTGCGCAAATTGTTCTTCGGCATCTTGTCTGCAATGTCCTTGCCGGCTGCTGGTCGAGATCGTGGACGTTTTCTAGGCTCTCCTTCATCTTCGATATCAGCTTCGGCACCTGCAGAAATGCTTGGTGCACTACGCGCCGCTCGAATCGCCCGCATTCGAATCCTGTCCTTAGCTCTGAGCACCTCAGCTGACTCCTGTCGCTTGAGTTTAAACGTTGCCATTCTCTCATGCTCTCCGGAGGATACCCGCATGGCGTACAGCTTTTGCATCCGCTGCCCTCTGAGTGCGGCTGCCTTTGCTTTTGCTAGCTCCGCAGGCGACTTCCCCTGCTTGGCCTCCTCAATCGATCGTTTACGCCGAGCTTTCACGACTTTCTTCTGCTGTCTGCGTTTCCTCTCCTTTGCATATTCACTTTTTCCCGACGCCGTATCGTCGCTGTTGTCACCCTCGCGCCGACGCACCCGCTTCTTCGGATTGCGTCTCCTAGCCTCCCCCCCTTCCGCCTTCTCTGGTGTTATCCCAGACTTTTTGGGCGCCACATCTGCCGGTTGCGATGAGGAGTCTGATGATTCGTCATTGTTCAGAGATGCTTGCAGAGACTTGAGCCAAGGCAATTTCTTCCGCAGGCGCGACGCGTCGGACTTCGCCATGGCCGTGCTGATGGACGACCAAGTTTACTTCGTGTGGGCAACGTAAGTACCGGTATTGTACTGCTTGTATACCACAAAAATGGAAATGAAATTATTGGCACCACGGTATGTATTACCCTTTGAAAACGACAGCAATTAATATTTAATTTGTTCAGCCAATATTTCAATTAGCTATTGTATGGGGATTGACTATTGCAGAGTAAAACTGCAGGTATTCTTAGGTAAAAATACATTTTTTTCTACATGTATCACTTATTCTAATACATGTAATTCCAGCAGATTTGACTAATGCTCATCGCGCCGCCCTCGACTTCGTCGAGACTGCGCGTTTAATATGACAAGTTTGCTTAAAAACGAAAGAGGGGCGAAACGTGATGAAGTGCACACGTACCAAAGCCTGCATCAGCTCCTGCTCGCGTTGCTGTAGCTGCTGCACCTGTTCTCGCAAATACCTCATCTCGTTATTTGGACCGCTCATTCCGTTTTGACGCTGTCGGAAAGACCTGTTCTCAGCTTCAATTTTCTGAAGACGTTGTTCTGCTACGAGAGCCCGTTGTGTCAGCTTATCATGGTCGTCCTGAAGGACCTGGAGCTGATTGCGCCGCAAAGGTGACTCAGGGGGTAGTGATTGTTTCGTTGCACCGCGAGAAGAAGGCGATGAGCTGATCACTGGAAGCAAGCGTGAGGTGGACACAACGGACGCTAGACTAGGCTGTCGTAAGAACTGATTAGCAGATTGATTCGACATCGGGCCAGCAAGTTGTAGCCGAAGGCGAAGTGCATGATTCTCAGTTCGAAGTACATGGTTTTCATGCCGCAGATTGTTTAGTTCCAACTCAATGGGGTCCACTTGAACCACCGGCTTGTTGCGAATATTCTTGGCTCTGGTAGCATAGTTCAGCGTGCTAAGTGTGTCCTCCAGTGCTACCGCCGACGGAGATACACATGCAATCATAAGGGTCAAGCTCTGACCACCAAGTGAATCCATCAATAGTTTAGTTAGCTTGCTGTCGCGGTATGGGATAAAACTACCAACGCTCGCTGCACCGGCATTTCCTCCTGTTGATGATATTGCCAATGCTGAGATAACCTTTCCCAAGGTGAGAAGACTGCGGTTGATATTGCTAGTTTCTTCGGCATTACTGGACTTTGTCTCCTTTAGTCGTTCACTACCAGCAAGATCCACAAAACTTATTTTCCCGTACCGGGTGATGCCATTACTTTTCCCGCTGTCCGAGTCGCGCGTCTCAGTTCGATCCACATGGACAGTTAGCAGCGAATGACTGCGGCTTGAATCGGCGTTTGTCTTATGTGATGCCACGCGACGATTTCGATGACCCTCGGCGACAACAGCTAGCACATCAGAAAGCGAGTCACAGCGCACGACAAGAAGGTCCTGGACGTAGAAGCCGACGCGTGCGTTCCATCGCACGTTCAGTCCCCCTGATCCCGGGTTGAGTAGGTCGAACACTTGTTCATTGTAAATTTCACAGTACGACGCACGAACGACAGTCTTCACGTCGATTGATGCTTGCTCCAAAAGAGAGAAGAGGTGTTTAAGTGCTCGCGGGATCAGCCCATCCGATAGATCCATTGCGTTGGAGTCTTTTCGATCATTTCGTAATGCTGCACCTACTGAAAGCTCGTCGAGGCCCGACATACTGAAAGTTTTGCCTGACCCAGTTTGGCCATAAGCAAAGACTGTTGCAAAATACCCTTCCACCACTGACTCGAGTAGGGGCACCACCCCACAAGCGCTAAAGAACTGCCTCTGTGAAAGCTCCTCCGACGCACATAAGTCAAACTGAAAACTGCGGACAAGCTCACGAGCTGACCCAGAGTTGTTGTTATTGCTGCTGTTCTGAGTCGACACTACTTGAAATGATGTAGGCTGCTTCGACTGAAAGCGAAACACAGACTGATCCCCTCTTGAGCGCTCTATTGCGTTCATAGGTCGGCATCGGACCACCACACGCACCGTATCTGTTCGCCTTCTTGGTTCAACATCGCCCTGTCCCGCCGCACCATTTACTGCAAGGCGACGGGGCGAGGAAATCTCAGGTGTCCGCTGTCGCTGCGCCGGTGGCGGTGGTCGCCTCGACATTGCCACACTTGGCAAACGAAGGCGGCGTATCCGTCGAGTACCCCTCGGGGAAGCAGCGGCTATCATGGACAAGCCACCACTATAAAAGTACAGTATAGCTCAGATAACCCTCTCAGTAGGTGTTCCGATAATAGCATTGCAATAATATTATCACAGCCTAGAAATAAGATTGTGCTTCTGGAAACAACAGCGAAAATAAAAAATTGCAGCCAAAATAAGCCAAAGGTTTTTACACGGAAAAGTTTACAAAAAACAAAATTGAAAAGACCATGGAAAAATAAGCTATTGAAAGTGATATCTGGCATCTCAAAAATAAATAATCTATTGTATAAAATTGTTTTGAAATTCCTATACACAATGATTATTTCGGAACACTTGCCTCTCAGTACTTATAGCTAACCAACTACATGTAGTGCACTGACAGTACCGATAACTACCGGGGTTTTCGGCCCGGGATAAACTTAGCCCACCAAAGCACATTTTGCCGGTTGTTTATCCATCACCCCTTAAGGCCCTGGTTCAAGTTCTATGTATTAACGTAATTGAGCATTTCAACACTTAACTCCACGGATTGTTTAGTATGACTGAAAAGAGAGCGATGAACACTTTGTAATGTTGGGATGGTGTAGCTGTAATATCTTACCGCTTATGATTTTGAAAACTAAATGGTCTCTTTAAAGAAGCTACCACTGCTTCTTTTTCGACAGTCGGTGTCAAGGTATCGCTGTTATTATTTCGCGTCCGTTTGACCGTGTCGATTTGATTCAACTGGCGTCGACTAGCTCGAGGTAGAACGCACAATAACACGTGCATGATTGGAGATGCTCTTAGTGATGAAAAGGATGTCCCTGTCTCTGTTGGCTGCAAAGTCAACTTACACTTTTGGGCGAAAATAACTTCGTTTTGCAGGTGGGTAGCAAGTTACTTGAGGTAGACTACACGTAATAATGATGACGTGATTGGGGCAACTCACTTGAGCTCACTAAGGGCCTTTCTAAGTACGAAAAAATACTTCACTTAAGTTCGAATTCGTACACGCGCGCCACAGTTGACCCATACTTTTAAACCAGCCACGTTCGGCAAAATTAATCAGAAATCACAATGTATCAAAAAGGACCAAAGAGAGTTGTGCACAAAACTCACATTCAGTTTGTCCGATGGGGATAAACACTCGCCGTACGCAGAAAACCTCAGTGCTGCCACTATTAATAGCGACGTCTGGTGTATTCGAAGATTTACACTTCGACGTCCAGAAATGTAAGCGACGTAAGAAAATACACCCCTTCGACGCCCACTTATGAGTCACTCTTTCGAATTAATGTGCTGCTGTTCATGGAGACCAACCTCATCAAATGTGGCGTTGTTGTTTTTGCTCCATGGCCGTCAGAAGCTTCCAATCCATCTATTAATACAAGCCGTCAGAGAACGTCCGATGCGCACGTCGCACAACAGCAAGCAGAGATTGGCAGAATCTGCAGTGCCCAGACATCAATTACTGCTCCGCGCTGGTTTCGTGCACACGTGTGCTTCCTGTCATTTGGTCGGAGCAGGTGCACAAGTGTGGCGCCAAATCAATCTGATTGTACTGAATCGGCACTGAATGGGTCTAAAATGAACGATGCGCTGAACACGGAGTAGATCTTAGTGGCTTGCCAAGATCCATGAGGATCTCATCGAAGTAGGAGTCATGCGCATGGTAAATATGGCAGTTAGCAAGCTGAAAAATGGCAGGTTTTTACTGGGCTCACTCACATAGTTTCGACCAATAACACTACGAGAACCGTATGGGTGTCGGCGTGGTGCAACGCGACATCGAGTGCAAAAGATTAGACGTCCGGCGTCGTCGACGTCGAATCGGTGCCAAGGGTCGCGATGTCGATAGCTCTAATAGCCAGACCGAATTACCGCTCAGGTCAGCAATCTATAACCCTCTACAGTCTTTACAGCTCTTTGATCATGCTCTGACGCAAATCTGAGGAGAGGCACGCCAAAGAAAAGGATTTGTAACGGGGTACGTAGCCCCTAGTGTACCTCTGGTTACATGAAGTGTGACACATCAGCACTTCATGTGGTACATGGTACCAGGGTCGTCCATTGGCTGATGACATAGCTTTACTATAGGTGACTTATAGTATGTATATTTAACTCAGGCTTAGCGTACTTATAAATACATTCAGCTTACAACTTACATTAAACTGGTCACTACGCTCCGTTCAACAAGAGAGACCTGTAAGCTACTGTTCACTGAGAGTTTGTAAGCTATCGGAAGCCAACTTCCTCTATTGTACTCGTCACAAGTCCTTGGACCAAAATGTAGCCATCTGTTATGAAGATTCAGCAACCCAAATCCTATAGCAACAGCTAGATATAAGGGGTAAAATCGGACGTAGATTTCAAAATGTGGTCAGAATTAGCTGATTCGCAGTCGTTTTTGCGCTACAAGACTATTTTTAACTCTTTCTAGATGTTCCAGATTACGGGAAACGGGTTGCCTTTGAGGCGGTCATTTGATTGGGCAATTCCCAAAACCACATGGATTTGCGCAAGAAAGTACAAGAAAGTACGCAACTAAACAGCAGCAAATCCGATTACGATTGTAACGATTTGAGTGCAAGGAGAAAACAAATATTTATTTAAACAGGCACCTTATCCTGGGTCGTAATCACGCTTCCTTCCGCGTTGATTTCACATATAAAATAATAGAGGTTAACGTTAATTAGCTGATAAGGAACATGCACCGCTAAATGGCTGATGTGCACCTCAAACTTGGTCTCATTGTCGGCTCTGTAGGTGCTCGTCACAGTCGTAACAGTGCCGTGTGCTATCTGTAGACACTCAGCAACCAGGTCCCGGGCTCGCTGCCCTCTGAAGAGGCCATCTTCCTTAGCTTTGAACATGAAGTCTAAGCACCGTACTACGTAATCCTTCTGGCCTGGTGCCAGCTCTTGCTGCGAGGTGCTTGGCTCAGACATGTTAGTAAGGACGCAAATAGCTCACTAGATGCACGAGATGCTAAGGAACATTTACGTAGGCTCCTTGTTCTATTTTAGTGCCAGCTCGAGAAGTTTCGCCATTTCAAATGGCATGATAAAATAATCTGGTCCAACGTCCATTGACGAGAACAATAGCGCAAGGTGCTGTGTGACCCCATCACAGGATTTATCGGCAATAATCTATGGGGGGGGTACGCTAAAATCAGGCTTTAAACCGCCCATTTTAAGCTATTCCAGGATAAAATTCCAAAATTTCCGGAAGGGAGGGAGGGGGAATAGCATTTTCTAAAAACGTAATATCAGCTAATACTAATCCTACTACTATTTAGATAGTAGTGACACTCTTACCGTGTTGTATGGTATTCACTATGAGTAGTAGTATCACTCTGTGGAGGCGGTACTATAGTACTTCGATAACCGCTATTTCCCAAGGACCCTGAATGAGAAACACAAGGCCTCATATCGCAACTATGGATCGAGTGGATCCTGTTTCGCAGTGCAAGACGCTCGTCATTGCCTAAAACGCTCAGCAGAAAGAGCGAACAGTAAGGGGGTCGGCTGATGACATCCACACAGGTTATGGGGTACTCAGTGAACGGTTGCCAGGAAGACGATGCGCTCAAAATGGATCCAGGCAGCGTCCGTAACAAGAGCGTACATCACATGGGTGCTATCGGGGTGTTCGAAGGCCCGGGTTCGGCGCTGAATGAGAGGTAATATGCGTATTTTCAACCACGCTATGTTCATATTCCTAGTAATAGGTAGTCTTTTGATCGAGTTAGGTTCTGCAGCAGGTTGTGTGTTTAAGTCGTCTACCCAAACCATCAGGCGTTATCTGCTGCATCAATATCCACTTAGTCTTCTATCGCTACGTCGATGGAGGCTTCGCTGAATATCTTAGACGGGATCCGATTCGACTTCCAGCTCTCGCCAAATCTGCCGTGTGCGACGACAACCCTGCTGCTAAACGGGATGTGAAGCGTCGCAAAACGGCTTCTAGTTCGTCAGGCGGGAAGAAGAAAGCTGTTCAGCGCGCGTGATGACGGCTTCCTCTCGAGATCGACCCCTTCGCCACCAGGTTCTCCCCGGTCGGAGTATGGTGTTCCCATTTCTGTTAAGTATACGAAGAAGCCTGGCATCACGGATGATGTTTGAGAGCTCATCCATATTCTAAGCGAGCCGTACAAGAAGCAGAACTTGTTGAAGTAAGCATCTCCGATGTGATGATGACTATCTAGTGGAATATAATTGTGCTATTTCATATAGAGAAATCGTAAATAACTGGACTGGTTGGTGGAGAGTAACTCCCCTCCAGAACACCAGACTCTATAATCCATCACTTCTTCTTTTACCAAGTCCAACACAAGTGTCTTCTTCTTTTACCAAGTCCACCACAAGCGTCTTCTCCTTCTACACTCAAGACTTCCTCTCCACTATGGCCGCCTAGACCACTCTACTTTTGTCCTCACTCCGTACTGTACTGCCCTAACAACTCTGCGCAAATCATCCCTCCAACAGGTTATTAGCCCAACGCTCAAACGCAAAGCGCCACCTGGCTTAACAGGTTAAGACCCCAACGTTTCGCCAGAGGACAGATGACGGATAGGAGGCGACCTGGACGCGGCAAGCCAACTAGTTATAAGCCCGACCCTTCCTACCAATAAGGGCGGCTCAAACGCAGAGCGTCACCTGGCTTAGCAGGGCATGAGCTCGACGCCGACAAGAGGACGCACGGGAGTCTACCATGTGCCACCGGCACCTCAAGGCCATGTTGCCCTCTATGCCAGCTAACGTGCTGCGCGCGTTAAGCAGGACGTCTGCCCCGCGATATTGAGCTAGAGGAAAATCTCCCTA